GCCGGAGGCCGGGGGTCAGCATCCGTGGGGCTTGGCTCCCTGCGCCTGCCCCACGCCGCAGCCTGGGCCTTCCCGTCCCCGAGCTTTCCACACACAGAGGCTAAAAGCAGCCAGTGCGCAGGGCACTCGCCAAGGCTCCTCTCTGCTCCCTGGCTGTTTTCTCCAAGAGAAGCGGTAAGAGCTGGTGAGTGCCGAGATGTGATTGGAAAAAATGTGTGGGTTTCTCTGGCGGCTTTAAGAGGGTGCTAACAAGCACTGTGGGCCCCCAGGCACCCAGGAAGCTGCTTTGTGCCCTCCGCAACACGAGTGATCCCTGCGTCAAACCTGCGTGCTGTCTGGGGGGACACAGACCCTCACAGAGGCTAACAGCTCCACTGAGGCACCCAGCAAAGGTGAGTGAGTCACTCCTGAAAAATGACTATTCTTAGTCCTGTTCCCCACCTCCATCCTCCTCCCAGCGCTGCTTTTCTTGCTCCAGGCTTTCCTTAAAAAGCCCCTTGGCTCCTTCCGCGCATCCTTTCCCTGGGTTTTTCATGCTAGACAGCACTGCTCCCCTCCGCTCCGCACACAGGCAGCCCCTCATGTGTAGGGCGCCGCGGGGCACGCGTCTCGCTGTGGGTTTGGAAGCGCAGCGAGCCGGGCCAGGAGGGAGCCGCGTGGGGCTCTGCCTGCGCTCCAGCCCCGACACGAGCCCTTTGCTCAGAACCCAGGGGCCACCAAGGGAGCCCTGGGGCTTGAGGGCAGGAGCTTTTCTCCAGCTATCAACTCTCCCCGCAGCCACTGACAGGAAAGAACTCGATTTTTCTGCTCCAGATTTTGCTCCCAGAAGGAGCGTTTCTCCGTGCATGGCTTGTAAGCCAGTTGCTGCTCTCTCTGGGGAAGCAACCTGGAACGGGCTCCAAAGCCAGGGAAGGAACCCCAGATTTCCACCCCTTGTGGGGAGGACTTGGCACTCCTGGTGTCTGCCGAACCTAGGACCTTGATTTAAATAACGATGAGGTCTTGGTGACCAGAAACCTTCAAATTAAGTAGTACTGCCTTCCTCTTTACCTGTCCCCTGGCACAGGAGCTTTCCTCTGCAATCATGACAGCAAATGTAATAGTTTTAAAAATATATATCCTGAAAAGGAAGGTTCGTTCAGGTAAAGCCTTTCAGAGTAAAGTGCCAGAGGTCCCCAGAGTAGCAATTACCCCACAGCCTCCAGCAACATGATGGGTGACCTCCCCCAAGGTGACTGTTCCAGCACTGGCCTCTTACCCTTCCTGTTGGATCTCACGAAGGACAGGATCACCGCCTCCTTCTCTCTTCCCTGGAAACCGTCCACGGATTTAATTTCCAGCTCGGGGTACCTCTCACAAAGGTGCTCTCTCAGCATGTCCACCTGGAGAAACAAGTGTGCGTCAGGGAGCTTTGGGGGAGCGCAGGGCGCGCTGCCCCGCACGCAGGACGGCGCCTCGGCTCACCTGCAGGTTGTAGGGCGCCACGATGGCCACGTCTCGGGCCTTCACCCCGGCCTCCACCAGCGCCTGGACGTGCAGCCCGGCCAGCTGCACCTCGCCTAGAGCACAGAGCAGGCGGGCGCTGGGAAGCGCTGCCGAGGGGCCGGCAGGGCCAGAGCCCGCAAGGGGCCCGGGCGCTCGGGCCGTTGATTTGCTCTGCCAAAGCCGCCCCCGTGTCGGTACCTGGGTTGCCCTTGGACTGCTCGTCTTCCTCCTCCAGACGTGGGGCAGCGCGGCCGGGACGCTGCGGCTCCGCGGGGACCCGGCCGGCAGCACCGGGAGCTTCCCTGCCCATCCAAAGCAAGGCCTGGGAACGCAGGCATCCGTCCTGCCGGACGGGCTCGGGCAGGGGGGATACCACCCCGCGTGGGATGCAGCAGGGGAATCCACAGGGATTCAGCTGCCGGGGGGCGAGGAGGGAGCACAGGGACCCCCACAGGAGCGGAGCTCTCATGTCACTTTGACATCGGGAGCCGCTGTATTTCCATCCCCCTCCAAATTAATAATCCATGTTTTAATCCTCCAGGCACATCTTTCCCAGTTCAGAGCCGAGGAAGAGGATGGGAGATGGAGGGGGGACTGGAAAGCCCATCGAGAGGGTGCGAAACAGGGACACGGCGGGAGGGAAAGCTCTGCAGCGCTTTGCTGGGCCCCGTGGACGAGGCCGCTCTCCCCGGCGCTGCAGACCCGGGTCTGCTGCTGCAGCTGCCCTGTAATCACAAACCACGTGGGCGCTGCAGCCGGACGCTGCATCCAGGCGCCTGGGGACCCTGTGCTCCCTCTGGGATTGAGCCAGGGAATCTGCACATCGCAACCAAGGGATGCTCTGGCTCTGGAGGGTCTTCTGGGGCAGGTGCTGCTGCGGGTCCTTCCCCTGTTTCCCTCCTCCAGAGAGGGAATGGCAGCATCGAGAGAGACGTGCGAAGAGAGGGGATGCCTGGCACGTTAATTAGATTAAAGCCTGACAGCAGAAACTGCTCATGATTTTTTCAAACCTTTCTCAGGGGAATGAGTCAGATCTGAAATGTGGAAAACGCTGCTAGCAGCTTCCTGAACTCAAGCCTGCGGGTGTGTGGGGATTTGACGTGCTGGGCTGCCTGCTTCAGAAGGAAGGCAGATCTGGGAAGAAGGGCTTTGCCCCGTGGAAATACTCCACCCTCAACAAGATGCTGCGGGATACCAAAGTTCCCCTCCTTTGATAAAACACAAATCTAATTATCAGGAATCGGGTTAATTCTAGCTGGGCATTCCCTCCCTGCTGTTAATGCTAATTATTTTTGCTGGTGGAAGGCGCCTAAAAGCAGATATGGGCACGCTGCTCGCAGTCATGGTGATCTATAAAGATGAGTAACTGAGCCCCAAGGATCTCCCCATGGACAGTGGATGAAGAGATTTTTTGGGAATGGGAATCTGGCTCCAGCAAGGGAAGGTCTCCAAGTGCACCCAGGAAAATACTGGCTGTCCAATGATGTCCAAAGGATCCAAGGATGTCCAAAACGTGGACATCCTTATCCGGCATTCACCTCTCACCAAAAGCAGCGCCACGTCTTCCTCCAGTGAGAGATCTCTGAATGCATAAAGCAGAGACAAAAATCCTCCTCCCCCTCCTCGCACGGGGCCACGTTTGGCACCATCCGCTTCCTTGGCCATCGCCTGCCAGCCCTTGGGAAGGAGACGGGCAGCAGCAAACCCGGTGTTTGAGCGTTAAGGGCTGCGACTGCAGCTATCGGCAAAGCTCTGACCACCTTCTAGGATGAGCAAATGGGCCTTTTCCAGCCTCCTCTGGGATACTTCTGCTTAAGTCAGCTTTTCTTAGGAGAAAAAAAGAGTTGAAGCCTATTTACTCCTTGCTCAGGAAGCAGATAAAGCAAATCATTTGGCTTATGCCTGGTAGTAGACTGAGAGGGTCACAAATACAACCAAAGCGTCGGCAGCAGCAACAGCGACGCGCGCTCGCGCTCTGAGGAAGCCCCCGTGGGCCCCCCAGGATGGCGCGTGCGCCCGCGTGGGCCTCGGCCGGGTTGTGGGAGAGCAGGTTTGGGGGCAGGGGCGGAGGGAACCGCGGGCAGGATTGGGCCCTGCGCGGGCGACGCAGCCGCGCTGTGGACTGGGGAGAAAGTGGGACACTCGTTCCTCCATCAGCTACAGAAATAAACCAGCTCATTAGAATCACAAAGTCAGTGAACTCCAGCTTTTCGATAAGCTTCCAGTTTTACGGGTTTTGAACCATTCCGCCTGGGGTTCTTTATCAGCTAATACTCTTCAACTGCAGGACGAAATGCAGCACAGGAGCGCGGCAAGGAAGGGGAGCGACTAAGGGGAGCGTTTTGCAGAGCGCCGGTCCTGGAATTACATCCACGTGGCTAAAGCGCTGCTGTGGTTAACCCTCCTGCAGGAGGGTCCCGCGAGCTCTGCGGTGTGGGGCCAACGCGGTGTGGGGCCGGCGCGGCGCGGGGCGCTTACCTGAGCAGGTGCCGGGCCACGGCCGGGTGCGCGTCAGCATGCGCGTGACGCGCTCCCCGCAGCGCTCCACCAGCCGCTCCATCAGGCTGAGCGAGAGGCCCTCGGCGGCCGCCCTGCGGGGACAGAAGCGGGTCGGGAGCCCAGCCGAGACGTCGCTCCCGAGCGATGGGCTCGGTGCCGGGCTCGTCCCTCTGCGGGCGAAGGCGCTGCCCGTAATGCGGCCCGGGTACCAAACGTGCTCCCGTTGCTGCAGCCTCCCCGGGGCACCCAAACGTGTCGTTACTGGAGCTCGGCCCCGGTGCAGCGCCTGAACCCCCGGGAGCCAGCACAGTTACTTCCTGCAGCATCGGAAACCTCCCATGGATGCTGGAGCTGTACCCGGGGCAGGGCTGGGAGGCTTCACAGATGGAGGGGAAGTGCTGGAGGACACCCCTGTCCTCTGGATACTGCCTCCATAAAGCCTTGCAAGTACAAACAGCTTTCAGAGCAAATACGAAGGAAGAAAGCAGC